AGAGAGAGAGAGAGAGAGAGAGAGAGAGAGAGAGAGAGAGAGAGAGAGAGAGAGAGAGAGAGAGAGAGAGAGAGAGGGCCAATGACTGTTCCAGCTAAACGAAAATTGAAGGAATGGTCAATGAGTGCGCTGAGTCCGCTGACACAATGGCTTTCCTGGGCCACCGGTTAAGCTACTAGCATCTTCACCCGAATAGCTGAATAGCACGCCCGTCGTTATAGCTATGTTTGGAGCGACCACTGATACACAGCAGCTATTTTATGATAACCGGGTGTTGCATTCGGGTTAGGACGGTAGGGTTAAGATTCAGCGACAATTGTGTGTCTGCCATCCACCCCCATCGTCATCGTCTTCCCCCAAACACAATGCGCACCATCATCATGACAGTATGCAATCGGGAAGATAGCTTGACTCCCGTCTTCACCCGCCGAATCGTCATTATCGCTGAACCTAGACTGAAAGTTGCCGTGAATACAGGTGTAAAGACAGGGCCTTGTATTTTTTTTGGGTGAAGATGGTAGGATGATTCGATATCCATAATTGAGGGACGATAGCCGAGAAATGATGACACGCGTAAATCGAGAAATGGTTGAAAAAAGAAAAAAGAAAAAAAAAAGAGAAAAGAAAAGGAGATGAGCAAGGCACTCCGGCCAAGCTGGGAACTCAGGCGACGGCTGGCTCATCATGAGCATAGTTTGTTTTAAGTGGTCGGTCTGCTCAAACCGTGATTTCTGGTTGACGCCATCTTCAATTCTTTGTTTGTCGTTGTTAAAAATCACCCTCCTGTCATTCACCACCTTCTTTTCTCCTAGTCGTTTTTTTCCCATCCCACGTGGACATGCCCACACGCTGGGGAATTTTTTGACCTCATCTGGTCTGATTTGCGGTCAAATACATGCAAGAAAAAATCCCACGGTGAGTCTGCAAGAAAGACTCCTACCGTGAGTACACGGGCCTTTTTCTTCGTTTTGACAAAAAAAAAAAAAAAAAAAAAAAGACCCTCCGCAGTGGTCTAACTAAGCGAGCGAGTTCCCACTAGCAAAGAGCATTATATTAAGCGCCTGAATCTGGACGTGTTCTGTGCACAAATGCAGAAAAAAAAAGCCGATCATTCGCGATTTTCTGATCCTCTCCACAACCACGTCCAGATTCCGGCCCGGCTCTACGTCCACTCCTCTTTCCCAGTGGGACCTCGCTCCTGCCGGGTCTACCACTTGTCCTCTGCGACTATTATTCAATCGTGCTTTTTTTTTATTTTTTATTTTTATTTTTAATTTGGATCATTTCTCGATCTATGCGTGTCGTCCTTTCGCAGGGGCCATTTGCTAATCTACCCTTCTCTGTATCGTTCCAATTTTAATGGATGTCCCGAAGGACATCGTGCTCCTTTTGATTTAGAAGGACCTGAAGCTGAGTTAGTTGCAGGCTGTAACGTAAATTTTATTATTTATTTCTATTTATTTATTTCTATTTATTTATTTCTATTTATTTATTTCTATTTATTTATTCCTATTTGTTTATTATTATTTTTTATTATTTTTTTTTTTTGGGCAAAGCCGTTACAACGTAGAATATTCTTCCATGCGTTTTGCTCCCTTCTTTTTCTTAGGGGAGTATGCTAATATGATATTAATCAGTAGTTTTTTTTTTGTTTGATTTTTGTAATCAATCAGTCGGAAAAAAAAAATAAAAAAAATTTGCTCCGTTAACAAAACTGGAACCATGGAGAGGAGGAGAATAGTGAAAAACAGCAGTGGCCATAGACTGCTTCTTGCACACGCATCGACAAGATATCTCAATACGTCTCCGCCCTCATGTACAGTTCTCAGTTGAAAACGCGCGCAATTTCCATTGCCAATCTTCTCCTCCTCCTCTCTAACGGAGAAGTTTATATGTTCGTTTTTTTTTTTCATTACGGGAATTGGGCAATCAAGAGTTGGGGTCCGTTGAAATTGGAACGATAGAGAGGAGGATGAAACACGCATTAAGTGGACACAAATTGTCCGAAATTCCGTAATTAAAAAAAAAAACCGTCAAAGAAAGGGAATAAAACCGTAATGAAACAACCAATCAAACGATGCATGGATGCGTTCACAATCTGGAGAGAGAAGCCTCCCCCCCTCCCCCCCCCAATGCAGTCATTTCCTCATAATCGCTTTGCTCAACGTTCAAAATCTGACAGGAGCAATTCATACTGTCCGACTCCACAGCAGCTGCCGAGATCTCTCTCTCTCTCTCTCTCTCTCCTCTCTCTCTCTCTCTCTCTCTCTCCCCCCAACACGCTAGGCTCTCTTCTCCATCTCATACTGTGCACCTGATCTGCTGGCTGTGCGTTCTCGCTCTTTCCTGCTCGTCTCTGTGTGCGTGTTGGGGAGAGAGAGAGAGAGAGAGAGAGAGAGAGAGAGAGAGAGAGAGAGAGAGAGAGAGAGAGAGAGAGAGAGATCGGGGAAGCTGTTATGGAGTCGGAGAGTACCTGAAAATGGGGGGGCGGCTAGTTTGTGCTAGAATTATATGAGTGATAATTATGATGAATATATAATAAGATGAGATCACCCTTCGCAAGGAAAACAGAAGAAAACCTCTCTTCGATCGGCCTTTTTGCCTGTCAATGCTCCACAATTTCCAAGACAGAGCTTGAGGGAAGTGGAAAGGGAGGGAAATAGTAAGACAGTTGTCATCTCAAATCCTTCTCCCCCCCGCCGTCTATTTTCTCTCTCTCTCTCTCTCTCTCTCTCTCTCCCTCTCTCTCTCTCTCTCTCTCTCTCTCTCTCTCTCTCTCTCTTTTTTTCTTTTCGACAGTTTTATCCTCTCCCCCTCTCTCGCTCTCTCTCCCTGACATTTACATGCCCTCTCTCTCTCCGCCGCTGTCTCTCTCTCTCTCTCTCTGTGCCCCCAAATCTCTTTTAGTTGCCCTTTGATGTCATTACCACGTTATTTTTAGCATCTAAAATATTATCGTGTTTTCTCGTCTTAGATGGGCCAGCCGTCCCAGGAAGTGGGTCCCTATTTTCAGCTTTTTTCTTAGCGATCTCCACTTTTCTCCTCTCTCCCATTTTGTTCCCCCCCCCCCTCTCCGTCAGTTACCGTGCTTTTCGGTTTCCTGCAGAGACCATCGAGCGGGTGTTTGAACGTAGGGGCACCTTTGGAGGAGGGGGGGGTGAATTCTTTCAATGGATGCTTTGCTATGGAATAACAATTATAATAAGTTTCAATCGACATAATTTTTGTGAATGACATCAATCAGTCAATCAATCAATTCTATCAATCCAAGGAATGCAATCAATCAAGGAATGCAATCAATCAAGGAATGCAATCAAGCGATCAATTAAATTAATCAATTCATCGATCTTGTCGATGAAATCAATCAATCAATCAATGCAATCAATCAGTGCAATCAATCAATCAATGCAATCAATCAATCAATCTATCTATGCAATGCAATCAGTCAATCAATTCATCGATCTTTTTGGTTGATGTGTAATTATTTCTGTGAA